CATGGTATTTTCTCGTGATTTCATTTATAATTATAGCATTTTTAAGTGTTGTTACAGTTTCTTCTTAATACTCATTTTGCTGATAAACTGGGGTTTTCTTAGCCTTTAGTTTATTTCTATGGTTTGTTCTCTCCTCTTCTCTCTGTCATATCACCCTCCCTGCCCTGTGATTTATCATTATCCCTGGTTACTTTAAGGGTAATGATCTGAAATTAAATTGAAGCCATAAAATCATAGTTTGGGTTTTTTTAAAGAAATAAAATAGTAAATTTTGGGATGCTTTTCTCACTTTTAAAACATGAAACATACTCTCATTTCTCCCACCATTAATTTTTGCCAAGCAATAAGCTGTGACTGCTTGGCACACTTTTTGTAGCAATCAATTGCGACTAAGTTCTTGTTAATAGACTTATGTTAACTGGTATCCCTGTTAATGGAAAAAGCAGTGTTCTCTGGTTACCTAGGCTACAGCTCCAGTATGCTCTATGTATTAGAAATGGACTGGGAGCACTTAAAAATAAATCAGTCAGGTCAAGGCAAACAATCCTTTTACTCTAGAGCTTGTTTGTTGTTGTTTTTTAAAGTTAATGAGCTGAAGCAGAGCACTAAAATGTTCTTAGTGTAAAGCCCCCAGTGAATTGCAGGTCAAATGAGTATATTTCCTGACCAAGTGAATGGTCAAGGTGTTGAATCTAGAGCATTATGGCATTTCCATTCTACTGATCTTAGGTTGATGGACAGAATACAGTGCTTCTGACTGTTACCTCTTCCCTTCGGTGGGCTCTTTAATTGCTAGTGGATGTTATTTCAAGATTTTTACATCTGCACTCAGGAAATTTACAAATACCTATTTCTGAAGCAGTGTTGCTTGGGATCCATGAAGATAAAAGAGCTTTGGGGCCTCTTGTCTGCCTTAGGAGCTTGCAATCTAGTTAGGAGCTTGCAATCTAGTTAGGAGCTTGTAAACTTAGAAAGGCAACAATGCAGGCAATACATAAGTACTGTAGGACAGACAGACATAAGAGGACTTTCAGTTCCTGTGGATGGAGAGTCAGGAGGAATTTTATACAATGTGTAGGATGACATAGGCTTTGAAGTTTAGATTAATTCATTCATTTAATAGGTATTTATTGAAGCACCTGCATGTCATACTTTGCTGGCCTGCCCATACCCTACTTTATTTTTCTTTTTGGTATTCTTGACTTTATGTTTTACATTCACTTGTTTATTTATTTTAACTATCATCAATTAGAAAGTAAACTCTGAGATCTGTGATTTTGTTTTGTTTATTGCTATTTCTAGAGTGCCTAAACAGTGCCTGGCCCATAGTAAGTGCTCAATGACCACCTAGCTGGCTGAGTGAAGTGTCCGTGTGGATGATCATAGAAAGCACTGGTGGTTCAAGATTCAGAGAAGGGTTAGGTGGGAAGGAGGCACGTCAGGAATTTATGAGAGAATGTGCAAGGCCTCTGCAGGGACAGGAAAAACCAAATACACAGGGGCATAAGGAATCATCTAGAAAGCAAACTAGAAAGCCTTCAGTGGAAGTCAGAACATTACCCCTTCTCAAACTTACGACATCGATCCTCCTCCTCCCTCTCTACCTTTCTCCCTTTTATTTTTCTTTCCATGGTTATTGAGCACTTACCATGTTCCAGCCACAATGGCAACAGAAATACAGGGAGGAATAAGATATGATGGGATATTTGACTTTGAAGAGAACAGTTTTCCATCCTGAAGATTATATTTTATTTTTTAAATTATATTTTATTGATTATGCTATTTCAGTTGTCCCAAATTTCTCCATTTGGACCCCTCCACCCAGCACCCCTCACTCCCTCAGGCAATCCCCCCACCATTGTTCATGTCCATGAGTCATATGTATAAATTCTTTGGCTACTCCATTCCCTATACTGTACTTTACATCCCCATGGCTATTCTGTGGCTTCCAATTTGTACTTCTTAATCCCCTCACCTCTTCACCCATTCCCCCAAGCACACCTCCCATCTGGCAACCATCAAAACACTCTCCATATACATGATTCTGTCTCTGTTCTTGTTTGCTTAGCTTCTTTTTTTAGATTCAATTGTTAATAAATATGTATTTATTGCAATTTTATCGTTCATAGTTTTGATCTTACTCTTTTTCTTAAGTAGGACCCTTTAACATTTCATATAATACTGGTTTGGTGATGATGAACGCTTTTAGTTTTTCTCTTGTCTGGGAAACTCTTTATCTTCCCTTTAATTCTAAATGATGGCTTTGCTGGGTAGAGCAATCTTGTCTGTAAGTTCCTGCTTTTCATGACTTTGAATATTTCTTGCCAATCCCTTCTAGCCCGCAGAGTTCCTCTTGAAAAATCAGCTGACAATCTTATGGGAACGCCCCTATGGGTAACTAACTGTTTTTTTCATGCTGTTTTCAAGATCTCTCTTTATTTTTAAACTTTGACATTTTAATTATGATGTGTCTTTGAGTGGGCCTCTTTGCATCCATTTTGTTTGAGACTCTCTGTGCTTCCTGGACTTTTATTTCTATTTCCTTCACTGAATTAGGGAAGTTTTCTATATTTTTTCAGAGAGATTTCCAATTTCTTTCTCTTTCTCTTCTCCTTCTGGCACCCCCATGATGTGAATGTTAGAATACTTGAAGTTGTCTGAGATGCTCTTTACACTATCCTCATTTTTTTCTGGATTCTTTTTCTTATTGTTGTTCTGATTAGTTGTTTTTTGCTTCCTTATATTCCAAATCATTGATTTGATTCTTGGCTTCATCCACTCTTCTGTTGTTTCCCTGTAAATTGTAGATTGTTCTCTCTCTTTTTTTTAGATTAAGACTTTTTAAAAAAAATTATTTATTTTTTAGAGAGAAGAGAAGAGAGAGAGAAAGAGAGGGACAGAAACATCAATATGTGATTGCCTCTCGTGTACTCCCTACTGGGTACCTGGTCTGCAACCCAGGCATGTGCCCTGACTGGGAATTACACCAGCAATGTAAATTGTTCTTTATTTCAATTAGTGTATTCTTCATTTCTGACTGGATCTGTTTTATGTTGTTGATGCCCTCACTAAGTTCCTTGAGCTTCCTTATAAATAGTGTTTTGAACTCTGCATCTAATAGGTTGATTATCTCCATTTTGTTTAGTTTGTTACCAAGAGTTTTGATCTGTTCTTTCATTTGGGCCATGTTTCTTTGTCTCCTCATTTTGTCAGCATCCTTATATTTGTTTCTATGTATTAAGTAGAGCTGCTATAACTCCCTGTCTTGGTAGCATGCTGTAATATAGTAGGTGTCCTGTAGGGTCCAGTGGCACAGCCTCCCCTATCGCCCAAGCTGGGTACTAGAGGTACGCTCTTCATGTGGGCTGAGTACACCCTCTTCTTGTAGTTGAGCCTTGACTGCTGTTGGCAGGTCAATGCGAGGTATTTACCCAGACAAGTCAACTGCAAGGACTGGCTGTGACCACTGACTACCAATTTCCACCTTCTGTGGAGGATCAGCTGTGCAGGGGCAGCGTGGTGGTACTCTGATGTGGTTTGTAGCTGTCCACTGGGTGTGCAGGCTCTGGGGAAGTTTCTGAGGTGTGCAGGCCAAGGTCACTGCCCACTTGTGTTCTGCTTGAGGTCACTCTGCATGAACCACAAAGCAATCTGCAGATGGCTGCTACTTGTCATGGGTTTAGAGGTGCTCAGGCAAAGCCAAGCTGTAAACCTAGGTTGGCTTCTGCTAATGCTAGTCCTGGGGCCACTTAGCAAGAGGTACAGGGGATGAGGGCTCACTGAGGCCAGCTATTGCTTGTTTAAGAAAATTTAGGAAATTGTGAAGCATGAGCCAATATCAGCCATTCATACAGAAAAGCCACTGTTAACAGGTTGAGTGGGCCCATAAGTCAGGTGGTGCAGAGCCTCAGTGGATCTCCAGGGCATGGTAAACAATGTTAGCCAGGTTGATGAAATCTCAGATGTGGTACCTCCCTGCTGGCTCTGTGGCTCAGTGGAGGGAGGATTCAGAAAGGGAACAATGGCCTCTGCTCACCTTTCCATCTGGGAGGAAGCTGTCCCCCAGCTCTTGCTTTGTTGCCAGACCCTTCTTTTACTCTCCATATGCTCCTGGTGCCTTTCAAGTTGCTACCCTGGTGCTAAAGTTCAGAGGGAGTGAGTCTGAGTAAGTCAGTGTGGTGGTTCTTTAAAAGGAACTGCTTGGGGCTCCAGAAGTTTCTTCCACTGACTCAACCCCCACTTGTTTTTGCAATCAGAAGTTATGAGGACTTACTGGAACCCTGGGCTGGGGGGCTTGTTGTGGGGCTGGAGCTCCTCGCTCCTGAGATATCTCTCCCGAATTTTTATCTACCACCTATGGGTGTGGGACCAGCCTGTTCAGTGTCTCTGCACCTCTGCCCCTCCTACCAGTCGGGATGGATGTGGTTTCTTTAATTCTGTAGTTGTCAGACTTCCATTAAACTCTATTTCTGATAGTTCTGAGTGTTGGCTGTTTTATAGTTTAGTTATAATTTTGATGTTGTGCAAGAAGGCAACCTATGGGTCCATCTTGACTGGAAGTCCCATCCTGAAGATTTTAAAGGAAAGAATCAAAATTATACAAAAATATAAAAAACTGAATTTTTGGACAAAAATTTTTGTGTGTGTTCCTAGCTTTTCCTTGTTGTTCATAGTGTTAACATTGACATCTGGTAATTAGTTTAAAGATTACAGTTCATGGAATTCATCTATGATGTACTAATACTGATTGGAATATATATATTTATGTATCTGACACAACCAAATAATCATTATAAAGGAGTAATGTAGTAATTGGTAAATAAAATCAATGTAAACACCAGAAGATGATTCACATGTATTTAATTAAAAGACTATTTAAAGAGGATACAAACTTGTGCTTTTCCTGGGAAGACTGTGTGTATGTGCGTGCCCTCGCACGCATGCCTTTCTTACTTTGCAGAAGAGAAAGTGTCATTTTTTCCTCATTTCTCTCCTCTCAGGAATAATTCCAGCTAATGGGAAGATGAATGTGACTATAATGTTTACACCTTTTCACTATGGGATGGCACAAATAAAAATGCAGCTATGGATTTCACAGTTCAACTCTCAACCCTACGAATGTGTCTTCACCGGAACATGCTATCCCAACATGGCTTTAAAGTACAGCAGCTTTAGAATATCTTTGCTTATTTTTAAAACTTCTTAAAAAATCTGTCTTCCTTCTATTCTGTTTTTCTTTCTTTTAACATAATGCCATCAAAATCCTACTTAAAATACATTTTGAAATATAATGATAATGTATAGAATATCTCTATGCTTGTAGCAGCTGTTGCTTCTGCCAAGCGGAGAAGCATTGACTGAAATAAAGGGGTTTTCAGGGAATACATTTTTTTCACTAATGACTGCTGCTGTGCTGTTTGAATTTTTGACCTTATGTATGTATTATTGTTTACTCAAAATTTAAATATTAGGCCAGAACAACATAACTTTTCAAAGTTTTAATATAATAGTTGAGTGCCTTTTCTAGGCAGTGTCCATTGCAAAACCTCTTGGGAAATGTTCCACACCCTGAAGTTACCCACCCAGAGGAGCCAAGATAAGTCCTGTATAACAAGTTACTTCGACATACAGCAGAGAGGGAAATGTGCCACATGAAAGGTTTTTTAAAAAACACCATGAGCATTCAACTCAGAGTTAAGATGTGAAATGGGGTTAATTTTTACAATACTTAAAATTTTTCTGAAGTTCTATTTTCATTTGAATGTGAGCTTGTATTTTATATCCCAATGTATCTAGTTAATACTATAAGTCTCATTCTAATACCCATGATTTTTATAAAAGTTAAAAGGAAAATTTGTCACAGTATAAACACTAATCTTGGGAAATTCTTATAAATATTTTGAAAATGATAAAGAAATAGTTTGATTTTCTTCTCTTCATGCATAGAAATGCATTATATATTTACATCATATAAGGTATATTAAAAGTGTAATTTATGATTTATTATATATTTAGATCATGATTTTTTTCCTAAAGACTCCATTTGAATGGGATTTTTATGTATCTATCCTTCCATAGACATGTTCTTAATTACACAAGAGTATTATATAGGAGAAGCTCTATACAAATACCAATATATACTATTTCTAAACTATTGTGTTTTGGTTTCCCAACTAGTTTTAATATCTTATTTAGCACACTTTTTATATTTTCAAGGACTATGTCTCCAGACCTGCATATCTCCCCAATCTGAAAATAGTTCTATAACATACAAATTTCACCATGAAGAAAAAAATATCCTGGCTCCAGTGTTCTCTGGTGCTTCATAGGCATAGTTTGTTTGTTTGTTTCAGAATAGGATGTGTGATGGACTTACTCATGTCCTAAACTTGGCACAACCAAATTCCACGTGTAACTCTTCAGTTTATCACTGTCTCAGATCCCTTCATTTTTATTGTCAATGCTCACAATTAGATTTCTTAAAGAGATTGTTTTTCAGCACCCTCAATTTTTTGTTGTTTCCCAGTATTTACATCAGAAGTGATATCAAAACTCTGTTGAGATGTACATGCAGAGCCACAGCTCGCTCCCTAACCGAGCACCTCATCCTTGCACATCACACCATGTCCATCAATGTGTGTCTCACTGGAGGACAGGTTCTCCCATGCCATGGACCTTGCAGGACACTCTTACATAAGCGATGTTAAGTTGAGCTTGCTGACATGTCACCCACGTTGTGCAGCAGGGCCTGTCAATAGGTGCACAGCAAATGCATATTGACTGTCAGAATGAATGAACGTTAGCATATTCTTATCTCATATCTGTACTACCATGGAAATATGTAACCCTATAAAACAAGTGTTCAGGTATTCTTGCTTAAAGAAATGATTCATAGGTAGCATTTATGGACATAATGTAGTTCTACTACTTCTCATAATAAGTAACTCAGATAGCTTCCATAGGCATGTTAGCAGCACTGTCTATACATACATATGTCCAAAGACAATTTGCAATTATATTCAAACATTAGTCTGAATCTCTTTTTGAAAGATCTTACTGCAAATGGTGGACATAATTATTCTTTTACTAGGAAGGTAAATCAATGTAAGATTTTTTTAATGTAGTAAATTTAGCTATTGAAAACCAATATCCTAGAAGTAAATTTTGCTGGACAATGAGAGCAATTTTCAGCATGTCATGTTTTCCATTTGTTATGTTCTTTGAGAATGTAAGGAAAAACAGCCATTGGTAAGCTATTTTGATGTAAATTATTATCCTTTTGTATGCTGACATTGCATTTATTTTAGTAGACAACGTTTAGACACTAGATTTTTGATGACTAATTAATGGACTGTAAGTCATGATACAATCTGAAGGAAGATAAAAATAGGAACATTGAGTTGTTGGATTACATACAAGTACTAATTTAATATCTGTTTGAAACTATAGGTTAGAAGAATTTGAAAGATTAAATATTCTTTCTAAGAAAGAAGAGATTCCTCCAGAAAAGTCAATGACAGAAATAAATTTTCACCGACTGCCAGCAAAATCAAAACCTCTAAAGATTAAAGTAAGTGGGCATCACACCAACCATGATATGAGGAGTGCAAGAGAAGCAAAATAATGAATTTTTCTTCCTGATTTGGTCCCAGGAAATTGAATATCAGAACTTGAGATTTCCAGTGGATTTATCAAATCCATTTGCTGTGGCATCTGTTTTAAACCAAGAACCAGGAAAATTGAAGATTAAAGAATTAAGAGAAGGTAACCAGCTGATCTACCTTAAATCAGCACCTAGGCAGAATATGAAAGAATGATTGCTTGTGGCATTTACTATTTACGAATAATAACAACAAAACTCAGATCGCTAAGTTTTGCCATTGGGAACATGTTTTTCTTTTAGCAAATGATTCTGATTTGATTTCTGGCATAATCATTGTTTGCTCCTGCCCTCAGTTTTGGACCAAGGCAATGGGATTTCAAAAACAAGACAGATGAAGGAAGCACTGTTTGAACAGAAAGTCAGACAGGACACTTGTGAAGAGATTGAAAATCACCTTAAGTGGTAAATATTGAGCAATTATTTGTATCAAGTGACAGTACTTTGTTTTTAGTAGTGGCTTTTTTTATATGAGACAATGAAAAGTTGTAACTCTTTGAAATAATTTTAATTATTCTTTTTCTCCACTGGACCTTCTATTTCAGAATGAAGTTTTTATTAGGAACAAATCAATGTGACCAAACTATGCTCTTTCCTAAGTGAGACCAGACAGTAGCAGAACTGGAGTGCATATGGGAGAAGTGTGGACACTGCTCCTTGCTGCCCGCTGTGGCCAGCACCCACTCATTCCCCAGGAGCCCCAAATCTCACTGCACCAGGAGCCCCCAGGGACCTTCTGGGGAGCCCAGCAGTACAAGCTATGGTGGCGCAGGTTTCTGATGAATGTTTTAAAATTCAGATATGAGACTTCTATATGTGCTTCTGCGATCAAAATGGAGCCCTTTTCACAATTTTTTAAAATTAAGTCATACCAGTGTATCCATATGTACAGATTTAGCGAAAGCAAACTTGAGAGACTCTTAAATTAATCTAAAAAAAAGACTCCAGGAAAGAGTCTTTGCGAGGCCGTCTTGTCCATTCACCTGCCCAGGCATTCCCCACCCTGTTACCCTACCACCTGCCTGCACGGGGTTGAGGGTGTCCTTTGTTCTCATGGAAATACCTTCAGCTTCAGTTTAACTCTGTATTCAGGGTCTCACCTCAGTTAAATAGGAAGTATGCCAAGTAACCGAAGAGCATTTTTAATATTTTTTTATTTTTCAGTTATACTTGACATACAATATTATATTAGTTTCAGGTGTTCTACCCAGTGATTAGACATTATATAACTTACTAAGTGATCATGCCACTAAGTCTAGCAACCACCTGATGCCATACATAGTTATTAAAATATTGTTGCCTGTATTCTCTATGCTACAATTTACATCCCTGTAACTATATGGTAACTACCAATTTGTACTGTTTATTCCATTTACTTTTGTCAAGGAACCTCCGATCCCTCTCCCAGTTGGCAACCATAAAAATGTTCTCTGAATCTGAGTCTGTTTATGTTCCACTTGTTTGTTTATTTTGTTTTTAAGATTCAATTGTTGATAGATATGCATTTATTGCCATTTTATTGTTCATATTTCTTATCTTTTTTCTCTTCTCCTCTTCTTCTTTAATATTTCATGTAAGAAGACCCTTTAATATTTCATGTAATTCTGATTTGATGGTGATAAACTCCTTTAGCTTTTTCTTGTCTGGGAAGCTCTTCATATATTCTTCATTTCTAAATGACAGCTTTGCTGGGTAGAGTAATCTTGGTTGTAGGTCCTTGTTTTTTGTCATTTTGAATATTTCAAGCCAATCCCTTCTGGCCTGAAATGTTTCTGTTGAGAAATCAGCTGACAGTCTTATGGGAGCTCCCTTGTAGGTAATTAATTGTTTTTCTGTTACTGTTTTTAAGATTATCTCTTTGTCTTTAACCTTTGGCATTTTAGTCATGATATGTTTTGGTGTAAGTCTCTTTGGAGTCAATTTATTTGAGACTTTCTGTGCTTCCTGGACTTATATGTCAATTTCCTTCACTAGGTTACAGAAGTTTCCCATCATTATTTTTTCACATAGGTTTTTAATTCCTTGCCCTCCCTCTTCTCTTTCTCATATCCCCGTGATGCAAATGTTGGTACATGTGAAGTTATCTCAGAGGCTCTTAATGCCATCCTCACTTTTTTGGATTCTTTTTTCCTTTTGCCATTCTGATTGGGTGAGGACCAAATCTCAGATTTGATCCTGTTTCATCTACTCCACTATTGATTCCCTGCAATGTAGTCTTCATTTCAGTTAATGTATTCTTCATTTCTTACTGGTTCTTTTTTGTTTTCTAGTTCTATTTTTTATGATTCTTGTGTCATTGTTGAAGTTCTCACTAAGTTCATTTATTCTTCCCCTAAGTTCATTGAGCATCCTTATAACCAGTGTTTTGAACTCAGCATCTAGAAGATTGCTTGTCTTCATTTTGTTTAGCTCTTTTCCTGGAATTTTGTTCTGTTCTTTCATTTTGAGCATATTTCTTTGTCTCCTGACTTCAGCAGCCAATTTGTGTTTGTCTCTGTGTATTAAGTAGGGCTGCTGCCCTGGCCGGTGTGGCTGAGTTGGTTGGAGTGTGATCTCGTAAACTGAAAGGTTGCGGGTTTGATTCCCAGTTAGGACACATGCCTGGGTTGCAGCTTCTGTCCTGGTCAGGGCATGTATGAGAGGCAACCAGTAGATGTTTCTCTCTGTTGCATCAATGTTTTTCTCCCCCTCTATCTCCTTCCCTTCTCCTCTAAAATCAATGAGCATGTTCTCAGGTAAGGATTAAAAAATAAATTAAAATTGTAGAAGTAGACCTGCTACATTTCCCAGGCTTGGTAGGGTTGCCTAATGTAGTAGGCATTGTGTAGGGTCCAATGGCACAACCTCTACAGTAACCCAAGCTGGGCACTACAGGTCCATCCCCCTCTCTGTGTGGTCTATGTACACCTTCCTGTTGTAGTTGAGCCTGATTGCGGTTGGCACATCAGTGGGAGGCATTTACCCCCAAGCAGACTGGCTGTGACCGCTGTGAAGGGTCAGCTGCACCTGATGGAGTGGGATTTACTTCATTGAGGCTCTGGTGCCCACTGAGTCTGCTCCTTGTGAGTATCGCTTGTGGAGGTGGTTGGGTCATGTTTTGATGTGCTCTGAAGAAGCTGTCTGGATGCACTGGCTCTGAGGCATCCCAGGAGACTCAGGATAAGGTCAGCTGCCACCTCTGTTTTGCCAGAGGTTACCTGGCATGAGGTACAAAGCGATCTTATGGCTGCTTCTTTTGCTAGACTTAGAAGTGCCCAGGAGAGGCCAAATTGTGAGCCAAGACTGGCTGCTGCTAGTACTGAGCCTGGGGATACTTAGCAAAAGGTACTGGGTGTGCCAAATCCAAATGCTGCTTGTTTGAGAAATTATAGGAAAGTCCACAGCATGAGCCAAGATAGGCCATTTGTATAGAAAAGCCACTGGAAAGGAATTGGGTGACCTCAAAAGCTGGGTGGGGTGGGGTTCCATGAAATTACCAGAGCATGGCAAACAGTGTTAACCAGGGTGTTGGAGACTCAGATATGGCACCCACCTGCCGGCTCTGCAAGGGGAGGGCTCAGCAAAGGAACAATGGCCTCTGCCAGCATTTTTGTTTGGGACAAAGCTACCCCTCCAGGCTCCACGCGGAGGCCAGACACTTTAGTTTCTCTCCAAATGTCCTGGGTGCCCTTTGCAGTGCCACCCCAGTGCTGGAACTCAGAGGGAGTGAATTCAAGTAAGTTCTTGCACAGACCCTTTGAAAGGTATGCTTGGGACTCCAGCTGCCATTCATTTCACTCCACATTTCCCACAATTCCACATGCCACAATTCCCACTGGTTTTTACAGCCAGAAGTTGTGAGAGTTCTCTTCCCACAATAAACCCTGGGCTGGGAGGTCTATTATGGGGCAGGGACCCCTCACACCCTAGGGGGGATCTCCACAGACAAATATCTCTCCTGATTTTTATCTGCCATACATGGACATGGGACCAGACTTTTCCATATCTTTGCCCCTCCTACCAGTGTAGATGTGGCTTCTCCCTTGTTGTAGGATTTCTGTTTAACTAGAATTCAGGTAGTTCTTAATGATGGTTGTTCTGTAGTTCAGTTGTAATTTTGATGTGGTTGTAGGAGGATTTGTGTACCACATTTACCTATACCACCATCTTCAAAGAGCATTTTAAAAAGTATTCTTTCTCTGTTATAAAAATGGACATATTGTCATGGTAGAAAACCTGAAAAATATTTAAAAAGTGTAGGGAGGGAAATATAATCAGTATAATACTGTGTTTATGTGTTTTATCATGAGCATGTATTCTTTTCAAATAATTTAAAAAACTTAAGATAAAAAATAATCAGTATGATGCAATGACTATGTCCTTCCTTCTATGCTTGAAATCACATCATAAATTCAGTTTTGAATTCTATGTTGTTCACTTCATATTTCCTCCCAAATTTTTTTATTGAAAGGTATTAAACCTGCCAGTAATGCCCATATAAACTTGACATAGCTTCACCAGTTGTTAACATTATGCCACACATACTTCTCCTTACTTTCTACACACACATACACACCTATTTTTTCCTGAACCATTTGAGGGTAAATTGCAGACATGTAGTTTCACTCCTAAAGACCTTAGCATGTAGTTCCTAAAAACAAAGACATTCTCCAATATTACCATAATCACTTCTGAGAAATTTAACATTGATACAATAATATTGTAATAATCAGCCCACACAAAAATTTACTCGGTTGTCCCATTAATGTCCTTTGTACCTGGGTTTTTGTTTTTGGAGAGGAGGAATCCAGGCTCCAATCAAGCACCATACAATTTGTATTTAGTTTTCATGCCTCCTTAGTCTACTTTAATCCAAATCAATTCTCCAGACTCATCCGTCCATTTTTTAAACCATAGCTGCTACATATTTTGAATATGTTCCAGGCTTATATACCAGATATACCAGTTTATGAACTGTGATAAAATTTATAAAATTCACCATTTTAATAATTTTAGCCCTGGCTGGCATGGCTCAGTGGATTGAGTGCTGGCCTGCAAACCAAAGGGTCACACGTTTGATTCCCAGTCAGGGCACATGCGTGGGTTGCAGATGAGGTCCCTAGTTAGGGGTGTGTGAGAAGAAACCAGACATTGATGTTTCTCTCCCTCTCTTTTGCCTTCTCTTCCCCCATCTAAAAATAAATAAAACCTTTAAAAATAATTTTACAGTGTACAATGCAGAAGTTTTAGGTGTATTTATGATTTTTTATAACCATCACCATTAATTCCAGAAATCTACTTTCTATAAATTTACCTGTTCTGGACATTTTTTATAAATGTAATCATATAACATAGGGCCTTCTGTAACTGGCTTCTTTTATTTAACATTTTCAAGATTCATCCAAGTCATAGCATCCATCATTCTTTTTTATGGCTGAATAATATTCCACCATGTGAACATACTACATTTTGTTTATCCATTCATCGGTTGATGAACACTTGAGTGATTTCCACTTTTTGGTGATTATGAATATTGTTGCCATGAACATTTACATACAAGTTTTTGTATGAACATATCTTTTCAGTTCTCATAGGCATATGCCTAGGAGTTGAATTGCTTGGTCATGTGGTAATTCTATGTTTAACTTTTTGCAGAGCTGCTCAAGTTTTTCACCATGGCCAAACCATTTATATTCCCATCAGAAATATTTAAGCATTCCAATTTCTTCATACCCTTGGCAATACCTGTTATTTTTCTGCTATTGTTATCATTATCATAATAATCATCATCCTAGCCATCATAATGGGTATGAAATGGTACATCACTGTAGTTTTATTTGCATGTCCCTAATGACTAATGAGGTGGGACGAAGCATCTTTTATTCATAAATATTTCAGCATGTGTCACTAGAAGATAAGCTAAATTTTGTAAAACACATTATTCATCTTGATTATGTTGGTGAAATCTTCAACTTCACTTCTCCATGGTGTCTCCTCCAATATCTCAGCATCCCTTTTCAATTGCGGAATATAGCTAAGAAACTCTATTCTAAAAATGACTATTATATTCTGATGGGTTCTGGAAGTTGGGTTTTTTTTTTCTCCACAGGCAGGTGCACCTTGGTAAAGATTATATGTCTTTTAAATTTAAAAAAGACCTTGCTGAAGAGTGGCAAAGAGTAAACAACAAATACAAGGTCAGGATTACTGCTAATTGGGTATCATTTATTTCACTATTTTTGAATTCCTACTATAGGCAAGATGCCATATCAGAAGAAGGAAAACTTATTGTTAAGTTGGGAGGGGAGGAGGCTGATGTCAAGTTAATATTTAACTATAAATCAAGGTTGGCTGTAAATGTCACAAGAGACCTATACTATGTATTAGGGGGAATCAGAAGCCAGAGAGGAGTGAGAACTCATCTAGTTGGAAAGCTTCCTGTAAGATATTGTATAATTTTTTAAAAGTCATAAGAATGCAAAAGCATTCATTTGAGAGGGAGGGAATGCTTCAAGCCTGGCTGGAATTCTGGGTGTGAAGTGCACCTTTCCCATGATCTGCAGAATATGAAGGTAAGAGAGACCCAAGGAAAATAACTGGGAGCCATGCCAGAGCCAGATGTAGATCCAAACAAAAGTTTCAAGTCAGAGATATTCAAATGTGCTGAGCAGAAAAGGGAAAACTGATTAGGGGAGGAGGCCATATCTGAGTCTCCAAGGTAGCACCTGTAGGTTCAGGGAAGGGAGAGTAGAGACGGAAACTGTGGGACTGTGCAACACCCCTGGGTGCACCATGCCATAGACATTGCTATGTGTAGGGCAGGTGCAGAGAGCAATAGAGATAAGTCAATAGTGGCTGAAGCACAAGACACACAGGGGTCAGAGGTGATAAGACTTGTCTGGGAATCATCACTTACTGTCTTAGCTAGGGCTGCCATAACAAAGTACAACAGACTAGGTGGCTTAAACAACAGAAATTTATTTTCTCACAGTTCTGGAGGCTGGAAGAACTAGATTAAGGTGTTGGAAGGGCTGGTTCTTCCTGAGGCCTCTCTCCTTGGCTTGTAGATGTCCACCTTTTCCCTGTGCCTTCACATTGTCTTCTCTTGTGTCCAAATTTCCTCTTTTAAGGACACCAGTCACATTGGTTTGGGCCCACCCTAAAGACCTCATTTTGGCCTGATTACCTCCTTAAATACCGTATCTCCTGACTACACATTAGGATTTGAACATCTGAATCATGGAGAGCCACAACTCAGCCGTAATATATGTTTTTTTGCTTGGGAATGTATACCTCCCACACTTAATGCTACACACAGTGGCAGTACTAGGTAGGAGGGATTGGGGAAAAAACATGTATCCTGTCAAATATAAATATATTTCACATACAGAATACATTCTCTTCCTAGATTTGGAGTCCAAATCAGATATTTGAATAAATTTGTTCTTTTTAAATTTTTTTCAAAGGATATAAAATCATTACCTTGGTAAATCTTAGCATTTAGGAAAGGAACATACTAGACTGGCATTTAAATTTAGTTTGGTGTATTGTTCAGATCCTTTGCACATAATTTTAAAAAACAAAATAGTATTCTGGCCAGGCAGCTCAGTTAGAGTGTCATCCTGATATGCCAACGTTGTGGGTTTGCTCCCTGGTCAGGGCACATACAAGAATCAACCGACGAAGGCATAAATAAGGGGAACAACAAATCAATGTTTCTCTCTCTTTCCCTCTCTCTCTCTCCCCCCTCTCCTCACTCTCTCTAAAATAAATTCTTAAAAAATTTATAAAAACAAAATACATTGTGTTTTCTGTGAACCCCACAATGGAATATTTTCTAACTGTTTTAAAGATACAGGTGATACAGGCATGGCACAACCAGGTCAATGTGAGAGTTAAGGCTATAATTTCTACCACTTGGTTGACAGACAAAGCCAACCATTTATTCACCAGGCAAGTTCATTGAGTAAATGCCCAATGTATGTAAGATTCTGTGCCAGTGAATAAGCCATGGTTCCTGCCCTGAAGAAGATAAGAGTCTAGAAGGGGCACAGACATTAAGAGATGATATAAAATGTGCTGAGTGCAGTGATAAAGCTAGAACTTATATATTAATTGGAAATGAGGGGTGAGGAAATGGAGAATGATTCCTAGGTTGCTAGCTTGGGTGCATGTTTTTAATTTTAAATGAGATCTCAAATATGGAAGAAATGCTGGCTTAGTGGAAGATGAAAGTTTAATTAGGGATATGACACACCTGTGGTGACTGAAGGGCATCCAGGTGGTAGCTGAAGGAACAAGTCTGAGCTAGAGACAGAGACTTGGGAGTCATCAGCATAGAGTAGAGACTGAGACCGCAGAACAAGTGTGGTGACCTGGGGAAAGTACGTGTCTTGAGAAAGAGTGTAGCTCAAGGCAGGAATTCTAGAGAACTTCAGGATTTAATGGGAGAGCAACAGAAGGCTAAGAGGATAGAAGCGAAATGGTTTGGAGGTCAGGGGACCTGGAGAGCGCAGAGAAAGCAGGCACAGAGGGATCAGTCAAGTTTAGAGAGGATTCCAGGATAATAAGGCCTAAAGAGTACACAGTGGGTGTGGCCCTTTGGAGATCCTTATGTGCCTCAAATGACAGCAACTATTAGACTTGAAGAGGGAAAATGCCAAATTGTAGTTCTCAAGGAAGTACAAATGAGTAGTTTCTCAAGAAGTCGTGTCTTGAGAAGTTGAAATGAGTAAGCATGAAGAGAAAGGGATGGACCATTAGGGGTGAGAGGTCAAGGAAAGGGTTTTTAAATTGGAAGAACTTCAGCATGTTTACAGACTGAGGGCAAAAAGTCATTACAAAGGAAAAGGTTGAAGAAGCTTGGGAAGAGGCCATGGTCAGAGGGAAAGATTGCCTTTGAATAGGAGGGAAGACTGGAGAAGGCCAACTAAGGAAGGACTGTGGGTATAGTCAGGTTTGTGTGGAGAGAGGGAGCTGTTGAAGAATGCTCATGGTCTTGTCTTCTTGGATGATCCAGGAAGCAAGGCCAACTGCAGAGACTGTGGGGAACAGGGACTGGGGAGAGGCTTGCAAAATGTATTGAGGGGACCAGGAAAGGAGTTGTTGTGTCCTTACTGTCAATCACCAGGACAAGTAGAAGGAAGAGCAGGTCACCCTGAGACCCTAGTGTAGTGGGAGAACAAGTGTTGCAAGGACCCAGTTCTGTGTGTCCAGATTTCATCTGGCAGCTGAATCCTGGTAGGTGGTCCAGTGGCAAGGAATACCTGAAGGCCCATGGCATATGACAAAAAGAGAGGGGAGAGGGTGGGAGAATGTGGAGAGAGTCAGCATTATAGTTGGATGACATGAACCCTCAAGGATGATGAGCTCAGGGGGAGATCAATGATACTAAATTCTGAAATGTTCACCATAAAGAAGTAGAGTCCTAATCAAGGTGTAAGAAATCTCCCTCTTCTAGCTAACAACATATTTGCCAATTCCTTCTTTTAGCTCCCCATCTTATTTTACTTTTAGTGGTTGTGGGGGTCTGTGTCTCTCCCCACAAACTCTGTGTTTTGAACCTAAGGTCCAAAATCTCAAACTGAAATTCCCACCATGTGCAAATCAGAGCTTGACAGCTCAACACCCTGGAGGTAATACCATAACTCTCTTACCTCTGAAGAGAGTGTTAATATGGTGATCAGAATAGATTTCCTCAGTTCAGTCTTTAAAAACAATTATGAACAGTGTTTACAAGAGCTGTTAGTTTTAGAAGTTACCAAACAAGTAATAAAAACCACAGATAGGCAAAAACTTTTGTGATGTGTACAGTCGTCTTTCCCATGGAAGCAGACCCTGTACACACTGAGCCACACCCAGCTGGCCTTCCCCGGAGTGAGCTGTGACCCCTGGGGGGTAGGAATGAGAGCTCGGGGCCCTTGGGGAAGGAGACGGAGAAGGGGAGCAGCCTAGTGACAACTTACTCCTGGGAAGGAGCAGACCTCGTCAACCGCCACCACACAGGAAAGGGAAGGAGTCATTTGCCTTTGTTAAAACCTTGGATAATCAGCTCTGAGGAGCTTAAAACTTCACTGGGACATTAGATTTCTTTTAAAGGAAATCTCTGTACTCCCATGGTTACATGCTTCCCTAAAATCCTTTCTGTGACTATTAAATACCTTGGAAATAATTTCTAGACATTCTCCTCTAGTTACAAAAAGAAGGTATTGGATTTGTGCTTCTATAAAAAACTCCCCATGTTTAAACAGTGAGTATAATTATAAGGATCATTTTAACCTAATTATGTCACCACCCCTCCCAATGGGAACTTCTTGGGTGGATTTGATGAATTGTATAATGAGTTTCTAACAGTTTTAAAGAGAAATAAAGTTGTGTGCATTTGTATTCAATTTTAATATTTTTGGTGATTAAAAAACCCAGCTAGATAGAGGAGATCCTGTTTTGGATGAGGAATTTCAGCGACTGAAGACAGAAGTTAACCTCAAACGGGTTGTTCACGATCTAGAAGAAGTAGGTAACTTTCCTGTATTTAGAATCTAATTTTTGGCAGCCATTTATATGCTTACTTTTAAAACACTAAACAACTTTAAAGACATCCTTTTAGCAAGAGATATTTAATAATTTTAAATATGCTTACATTTTCAGAGTATTGTTTACATAGTCACAATGAAGCATCAAAACTCATAATGTTTCCTTTGAAATTAACAGTATGACATACTTTGGCTACCCCTTCCCACCCCTCTACTTTCTCCTCCTTGGTCTCCTTTTCTGTTTTCCTTTACTCTCTCCATGCCCCGTCTGACAGTCCTCAGGGCAGGTCCCTGGGCCTCTGTTCATTGACCCTCCCTTGGTGGGAAGGAGGCAGCCAGAGTTCTGGTCCCAGCTCTACCACAGATTTGGGACCTGGGAAAAACCCTCTGGGCCTTGGTGCCTTTGTTTCTTCAAATGTAAAATGGAAACAGTAGACCCTCCACTTGTGTTTCAGCTGTCATGCGATAGTTTCTGGTTGAACCCCAAATTTCAATATTTTTCAGAGATTTTATTTATTTATTTTTAGAGGGGACAGGAGGGCGAGAAACATCAATGTCTGGTTGCCTCTCACACATCCCCTACTGGGGTCCTGGCCCACAACCCAGGCATGTGCCCTGACTGGGAATTGAACTGGAAACCCTTTGGTTCACAGTCCAGTGCTCAATCCACTGAGCCACACCAGCCAGGGCCAAAATTTCAATTTTAACGGTGAAAAAAATCTTCCTAATCTCCCCACCTCCATCATTGTCACCTTCCTTTTCTGGGTTTGCCACAGCTGAATTATTTTAACCTCTTTTCCTCTCCCTCACATTTAATCTTGCCACCAACTCTTGCCAGTAGCTCTTCCACAAGGCCATACCCAAGTCTAGCCTTCAGGTCTCACCCCAACTAATCCAATAGATTGTTCCCATATCTGCCCCTCCTCCCTCTTTTCTACAGCCCACTGCATGTGCCAGTGTGAGACTAATTCACTTCTGATGCCTTTTCATCATATTATTTCCCTGTTCAAGAATCTATAGTGCCTGAAGCTCTGGCTGACCTTAGTACACTCACCCCCAGGCACCTTTTCCTATGCATTCATTTACCCATCACCACACGCTTGTGCCCACAATTATTGTGCTGGCATTGTGCTGGTGCTTGGGGTGAGCTGAGCAATGCCATCCTCCACCTCCAACAGCACTGTACAGTCTGCTCCTCTCCATTCGGGATGCAGTGCCAACACCCACTATATGCAACTGAGTTCTGTGTGACTTTATTCTTCTTCTTCAGGGTTGCATGTGTTTGCTTGAGCTTCCTGAACACTAACTAGACTGTAAATTTTTTAAAGCCCAAAACTTCTTCTTTTGTCCCCCAACCCAAGAATTTTTCCATAGTATGCTCTGTATACTCAAAGTGCTTAATAAATGCTTACTACATGGCAGAACTAATGATAACTAGATTTGGGATCAAATTCTGAAACATTTGTATTAAATGTTTATATCAGGGGTTAAAATTCAAATCTAAGATGTGTATATATTTTTTCATTCACAGAAAATCAAGGAATTTCATCCTAATTTTGATCCACTTACAAATAATACTTGGGTCAGCAGGTTCAGGGCACAAAGGCGGTTTCAACAAGCAGCACGCAAGGTAAGTCTCAGTACCAGATTGAGATTTTAATTTGTTCAGTCATCAGCACAAGAAAATCAAACAATGAGTTTTTTATAACAGCTTTAGTGAGATATAATTCATATACCATAAAATTTGCTCTTGTAAAGTGTACAATTCAGTAGTTTTTAGTATATTCACAGAGTTGTACAGCTATCACTACTAATTTTAGAACATTTTTATCACCACAGAAAGGAACCTGGTTCCCATTAGCGGTCACTCTCCTTCTCCCAGGCCCTGGCAACCACTAAACTACTTTCTGTCTCTATGGATCTGCCTATTCTGGACACATCATATAAATGGAATCATACAACACATGGCCTTTTGTAACTGGCTTCTTTTCCTTCATGTGTTTTCATGGATATGTATCAGTACTTCATTACTTTTTGTAGATGGATACAGTTCCATTATAGGGGTAGCCCACATTTTACCCTCACACTGGTCTCTCACCCACCCCATCACTAGCCCTCAATGCTTTCCTGAGATCGGAAGAAAATGAAGACTTTAGCTTCCAATGCCAGTAAAGTGTATAAGGCAGCTGCCTGGTCTGGCTACAGCCACATAGAGGACAGCTATCCCCTGCCCTCTATGTGGTTCCAGTTCTCATCTTCTTCCATATACATCAGCTTGGACCATCACCTTTGTGCAGGCTTACATTTGTTTGTTCCCACTCCAGTACCTTGCATGGAACTGTCTACCGAGTAGCCACTTCATAATATCTGTTAAAGGAAAGAGTCCTTTACATGATGAAAAGGAGTGTTAATTATGGAACGAATGGTATGAAATCAAAGCACAGGGATGTACAGTTAGCATTGCCCATAATCCACAGCCCTGTTTCTACATAATTGTCCATTTAGTTTGTCTTTCAACTCTGAAAACAACACAGTGGAAGCATTACTACTCAGACATACTGAAAAGATAGAATGTAGAAATAGTCATTTTTTCCCACTCTGGAATATATGCAAAAACTGGGTGTTGTAAATTGGGTGGGACAAGGCTAAATGACAACTTGCTCTTTTTTTGTATTCAGGGAAGTCAACATTGCCCTGACCTTGAAGTCCCTGTGGCCTTGGTCTCAAGCAGGAGCATGCCACTTTCCTTGTGAATTCTGACTTAGGGTGGTGGCCTTAGCCCTTAGCTGTGGTCAGGAAAAGTAAATTAAATTAAATGACAACATGAATGTGTGCCAATTAATCATTTGAAATCACTCTTCTTTCTAATTCTAGGTCATGGTTCATCGACGATTACTCAATATGCTAGACGCTATTCGTGCCATGGATAGAGAGACCATAATAAAAAGGCTCAGGCATGAAAGACAATCGATAACACAAGGTGAGGTCCAGCTGGGAAGTACTACGATGTTTTGACCAGCAGTTCTCTGGGCATGAGGCATCTTGCCTAATGATGTTAGCTGTGTAGAAATACAATATTTTCATAAATCACATGTATCACTTTTCTATGGCTGCTATAACAAATCACGACAAACTTGTGGCTTAAAACAACACAATCTCACAGTTCTAGAGGTCAGAAATCTAAAATCAGGATGTCAGCAGGCATGGTTCCTTTCAGAGTCTCCAGTGGAGAGTGTTTTCCTGGCCTTTTCCAGCTTCTGGAGACTGCCTGCATTCCTTGGCTCATGGCCACTTCCTTAAGCCCCTTGACCTCTTGGTCTGTTGTCACATCTTCTTTTATGACGCTGGTGTTCCTGCTTCCCTCTTTTATGGGTCCTGGGATTACTTTGGGCCTGCCCAGATAAACCAGGACAATCTCCCCATTTCAATCAAGATTCTTAACTTAATCACATCTGCAAAGTCCCTTTTACCAAATAAGGTGACATAGGGTCCAGGGAATAAACATAGAAGGGTGATTATTCAACCTACCACATGGCATAAATCACACCTCCATACTAGGTTTGGCTGAAATACCTACCCAGCTGATAGTAAACTAGGCTGATCAACTTGACTGAGTCTGAAGTTTGACTATGATTCGACCTCCAGTTTTGTTCCTTCTATTCTTGTTACCAGAGACTAGGGTAGTTGGCACTTGTACTTGTTGATTGCTTGGCATGACCTGGTTTTATCTCAATCTAGCATTTACACATAAAGCTTTTTATCCCATATTGTCTTTGCTATTTTTAAAAATTCCAATCTGCTGGTCCACAGGTTGACTGGGACTGTTGGAGGTCACTCGCAGTAACTTCTGGGAACCGAAAAGCCACATTGCTACATCTTCTCACAAAATACATATTTCCAATCTGTAGTCATATGCAAATCCACAGGCAGGCCCTGATCTTTCCAGACCCTTCCTCCCTCCCTAAGCCCAAGCCACTGAACCTGGCTCAGGCTTCCCTATTGCTTCCCCAAGGAGCAACTTTTTGGATGTAAAAATAAAATACAGTTTAAAAACTGGAGAAGGGGTTGAGGAAAAGAACAAAAGAGACACTAAAAATGGGACTATAAACATACATACATAGATACTCTTTTTGAAATGGCATATGGCAGGTACCCACTAATGGTATGTGACAGATATGCAACTGAAGATGGTGGACTCACATAAAAATATCTTAAGAAGCCCCCAAAAGTGCTATTTTGTTTTTCTCTTATAGACAAGAATTCCTCCAAATACCTTCTGCTACAGATCAGTCAAGATGATTATTCCAGCCGGTTCTCTGTGTCACCCAAGCAAGTGCTGCCCTTCGCCTTCCCATCCCACAGTCCTTCCCAGGGCTCTGATGAGTTGGTGGGTGCTGTTGGGCTGGGATGGGAGCTGGGCATGATCAGATGGTTGTTAGGCAGACACCAAGGCAGTCCCTTTGTCTCTTCCTAAGAGGCTCCCAAGGGAGACCTGTGTCAGGGAATCGTGACCAATGGGAAGCCAGGGATCATCTACAGCCACATACCTGACATCTGACACACCTGTGCAGAGCTTCTTGACAGCCTAGGCTGATCCCATTACAGCCTGGAACCCAGCAAGAGCACTGAGCCTGGCCTGGGAGGCAGGCCCCCCTTGGCTGAGCCCATCTGCTTCATGAGCAGATAGAGAGGCCAGGGAAGGATGGTCCAGAATCCAGCAATATAACCCATCAGACTCACAGTTCCCTCTCTTCCCTCTCTCTCCCTTCCTTGTGTTTGCTCTTCCCCCCTGACTCCCCGCCGCCACCTCTGTGCTTCTCTCTCTTTTTCTCGAAAAAGGTGTGACAGTTCATTCCTCTTGCCTAATGGGCACAATGATGCATTATAATAAAAATAATAGCTCTACATTACATTGTATCCACCATAAGTGAGGCAGTGTCTGAAGTGCTTCAGTTGTATCAGTTCTTTAATCTTCAACAAACCTATATGCTACTTATCATCTTACAGATGAGGAGGAAACTGAGACACAGGACACAGCCAGTAATAAAATGTTGCCAGTGTTCACATAGTTGGCAACAAAAAAGTGTGTTGAAGTTGATATTGAAAGTGCATATGCAAAATTTTTTTTATTTTCAAAGTATAAAATTACCATTCACATCCTATAATATGTGTTAAGCACTGCAGTTTGATTTATTCAAGAATTACAGGACTGATTTTAGAAATTCTATGTGTTTCCTGCATTAGAAAATTAAAGGACTTAAAAGATTAGAATATTTAGTTCCTAGGAAATAATAAATCTGTGAATTTCCAGCAACAGTAAGTATCTGATGCTCAATAATTGATGGAAGAGATTGTCACTGTGCTGTGAAGCCCTTCTCACTCTTTTTGAATAGTTCAAATCTTAAACATTTCATTCGGTGCTTTGGTCAGTTGTACAAGGCTTCTCTGTTGCTCTGGTTGAGAGAAAACAAACTGCTCAGCATTCCTGCCTTTAGAGAGCTTTCTCATTCATTCAATGGATGTTGTATTTTTATCATTTCTATGATCACTATTTAAATATGTAGCATCTTTGAAATTGGAAAGTGTCTTATAATTAATGGTGTACCAACATTGCATCATGCTAATTTAATTATGGTGTCTTAGATTAGATGAAATTCAGTGTGTATTGAGCACCTGTAATATGGCAGGTGCTGTACCAGGCTCTCAAGGTGTCTGAGGCAGCTTGGCCTGCAGGAAGTTTACTAGCTAGTGCTTTGGGGTAGGGGCAGGAGTGGACAGAAACAGAAACAGGACTGCAGACCTGCTTCATGAAGGCCTCAGCCAGATTCATGAGGCTCTCTGATGCTGGGATAGGGTGAGAGGACCCAGAATTTACATCTCCTTCAACATGTCATTGGAGGTGGGCTGCCCTCGGAGGGGCACATGACCTCCAGGCCCCACACATCCAGTAGCAACTGTGGTTGAGGGAAGGTGTACTTTAAGAATCAAACTGTTCACCCTGGCCGTTGTGACTCAGTGGGTTGAGCACTAGCCTGTGACCCAAGAGGTCACTGGTTTGATTCTAGTCAGGACACATGCCTGGGTTGCAGACCAGATGTTTCTTGTCCTTTTTTTCTCCCTCCCTTCCCCTCTCTGATAAGTAATATCTTTAAAAAAAAAATAGAACTGTTCACTTAATGTTTAAAATGTATGTAAAAAGAAGCATAGCCACTTTTGCTGTGTTGATTATGTGTCGATTTCCTTAATTTAACATTTTAGGCTCCTGATGGCCTTGGACCGGTCCCAATTAAATCTTCAGAAATTCAAGTCAAGCACAGCCATTCCTACTTCAATCTACAGGTCGGACCTGTCATATGGCATTAGTTAATCAGATTCCTTATGAAGTGAACAAAATATTCCCAAATTTGAATTACATTATATTATTAGTTTTTTCTAATATGCATTATACTGTGTAGCATACTGTGTGTATTTCTCTACTGTTATTTTATGGTATGTGTGAGCTATCACAGATTCTGTTTTCCTAATGTGGCTCATGGGAACCAGGATCCTTACCTGTTCTATGGAAATACCATATATTATGCATACATGAAGCTAGATATATTAGAAACTTTAAGAAAAAACACAAGATGAGGTGAACAAAGTTAGTCAGTTCTTGAGTATATATGACCACTTTTGTTTTTATGAAAATGAAATGAAAATATAAATGTTTTAAATTGACAAACCAGTATGTGTTGTATTTCTGCAGTTAAGCCATATGGTCCTGGAGAATAATTATGAATGTTCCTGTGTGCTGGCACTGGAACAGGGCTCAGGGCTGGCCCCGAAGTCTCTCCAGTGCTGATCAAACTAACAGCTGCCACACATCTAGTGGTTGCTACATGGGGCTTGTTTTTCTTTTACCATCAGGCAGGTCAGAAAGCTAGTATTGAGACTAGACCCCACTAAATGGTCACAGGATTTTAAGGAGTTTTATTCCAGTATATTCTTTCACCCACAGGTTCCTCAGTTGTACAAAATTAAGGGGTATCAGCCATTCTCTGTCCAAAGGTCTTCAACAAGTTACAGACCTCAAAAGCTTGCTCGAGCGCTGAAGCAAGGAGCTGAGGTAAGACACACCCACCTTCAGGAATTGCCCTTACCTATCTCCTCTTGTCCTGGCATTGAGACTAACACACTACTCTTGGTTCTGGAACAGGATGAAGCCACCACTGTTATAGCCCTGCCAAAGCAGGACATCACCCCTCAGTTCCCTGGCAAGACCTCAACCTTGAACATGAAACCACCCGAGGCTTTAGCCGTGTCTCCAGATTATGACCCACTTTATATTTTTGTAAGTGACAATCGGCAGGTCTTGTGTTCTATGTTCCTTTATTTCAGCAGTTACTTTATAGAAAAACAGATGCGTTAATTGGGAATATTTTTCTCTCTTTGGAATTTCAAAATTTAAAAAATATATCATTTTTGAAATGGCTTGCTTAGAGAATATCAATGTTTCCATCTTTGAATAATTCCAGCATATTTTCATGACAATAGCTTTGTGATCTTTTCTAATTATGTATCATATATATAATGTATTATGTATATACCTGTATGCACACACACATACCTATATTTTTAAAAAGAGAGAAAAAAAGGAAGAAAATAAAATTACCCCAAGCCCCATCACTCAGAGCTCTGTTGATTCTTTATTTCACCCTTGTGCATCTCTTCCATACTGAATGCCTCTGCCTCCCAGATTTCTCTGTTCTACTTCATTTCTGTAGCTGCACTTGATTACCCTCCTCAAGCATACACTAACTATGCCACTCTCCTGCTCAACATTCTTCACTGACCCTATTTTCTACCAAATTAAGTGTATGCTCTTGAAGATATGAGGCCAGTCATAGTCTCCAGCCCTGTTCTCTCTTGTTCCCTACACATGGCCAAACTTTTTTGCTTTCTTCCCATTACCAAGTCTTTGCTCACCTTAATCTGACCTCATGCATCTCCCTCTTCTACTCTACGTTTCCAGCTACCCAAGTCCCAAGTGACTGCAATTCAGACAGGAAACCTGATAAGGTTCTATGAAATCATCAATGATATGCCATAGTAGTTGCCCAAGTTATGGTCCATTTTTCTTAAAAAAGAAAGACACATATAAACACAAAATTAAGGAACCTCAGACACTACTTGAGAAAGTCTCCTTTGTGAGAATCTCCAAGTGTGAATCTGTATCTCTAATGTGGGCAGAAGTGCTAATGGTCATACCCAAGGTCACTCAGCCAGTTAATAGGGAGGGCTGAAAGAGAAACCTGCCTGTTTCCTGACTGTTTGCCTCACGGCTCTTCCTCTGATGTATGCTGCTTTTCTAAGGAGAGCTTTGATGTTTGCGGTTTGGTCATAATGTGGCATTTTCTTATTGTGTCAGCATTGAGAAGAATGTTCTCGAGAGACATACCTGTTAAAGCTGGACATTTAACTCAGTGATTTTCAAACTCCCTTTAGCACCAGAGCCCTCTCAACAGCTGAAATTTTACAGGAAAAGGCAAAATGTAAAAAAGATAAAGTTCTAGTTGCTGGGATGGTGGTAGAGTAGGGAACTCTTCTGAGGGGTGTTCCAGCAAAACAGTGGAGTTCCCCACAGCAAGGATTGGAAGCCACTCTTCAGTTTCTTATATTCCAGCCCACCCACTGCCATTTCCTTTTAAAAGTGAGAAAACTGGTCTAGAGAAGTTAAGGGAATTTTCCACAGTCACACTCATACTTCCTTAGAAAATATCAGCAGTTATTAATTAACTCATTAATTCCAAAAATACTTAGGGAATGCCTGTTTTGTGCAGGATAGGAGCCTAAGTATAGGGGCAATTCATCCAAGAGACACAACAACCCTAAATAGTTCAGTACTTAATACCAGAGCTTCAAAATGCATGAAACAAAAACTGATTGCACTGCTAAGGAAAAAAATAGACAAATCCACAATTATAGTTGGTGAATTCAACACTTCTCTCTCAAAAATTGATAGAACAAGTAAACAGAAAATCAGTTAGGTTATAAAAGACTTAATTACCACTAACAATCAACTTGACCTAATTGACATTGCTAGAACACTCTATGCAAAAACAGTAGAATGCAGATTCTCTTCAAGTGTACACCAAAGGTTTGCCAAGGTAGACTATATTTTAAGTAATAAAACAAGGCTCAGTAAAACTGAAAAGATTCAAATCATAAAAGGAGTTCTTCTGACTTTGACAGATGAAGTCAGAATGATATAGCATAAAAATATATAGAAAATTCCCCTAAAATTTAGAAGCTAAATTATATACTTTAATAGCCTAAAGGCCAAATAAGAAATCAAAAGAAATTATAAAGTATTTTTAACTGAATGAAAATGAAAACACAACACAAAAATTTTGTGGGCAGCCACAGACAGTAGATCTCTGGCTAAAGGGGGCGCAGAGTGGTCTAGAGACACTTGAGGACAGACTGAACACAGAGACTTTGGGGAGAGAACTGAGAGAGTAGCTGGCAGGATCCCTGTGCTGACTCCTCCCCCATAAGGCAGCAGCCTTCTGACTCAGGCAGACCACTCCCCTGAGCAGCAGCAACAGGCTGAGAGGACCCAATAACCCCGCCCCCAGGAGGGACTCTGCCTTGCCCTGTGTGATACCTGAGCCTAACTGTTGAATGCAGAATGACTACATTAACAACTGAAGGAAATTCCTGGAAGTCTCAAACAGACTGCCTAAGGTCGGACAGGGACAACATCTGATACTATCAGAGGCAGATCCACAAAGAAAAAACAGTGGTTTCCTATCATACAAGTTCACACCACAAAGTCAGGAAATCAAGACAGATCAATTGAAGAAGCAGAAGCAAAAGAGTCTCACAAATAGTGGGAAGACAAAGAAACACCCCCCAGTCAAAGGAAAAGGAGGAATCCCCAGAAAGAGAAGTAAATGAAATAGAGACAAGTAAACTTGCCTCAGATATTGAGTTTCAAACAACAGTTCTAAGGAAGTTCAATGAGCTCAGTGAGCTCAGACAGAATTACCAAAAACTGCAGGGAAACTATGAGGAACTTACTGCACACTATATCAGCAAGAAAAAGGACATAGAAACTATCGATAAGAGACAAGAGGAAATGAATAATACCATTTAGGAATTGAAGAACACAGTAGAAAACATCAAAAGCAGGCTAGATGAAGCAGAGGATCAAATCAGCGAGCTGGAGGACAAGGTAGAAAAAAGCTCCCAGAAAGAACAAGAAAATGAAAAAAGACTCAAAAAGAATGAAGAGGAGTTCAGGGAAATTCAGGACAACCTGAAACGTAATAATATCCATATAATAGGGATACCAGAAGGAGAAGAGGATGAGGAAGGGATAGAGAACCTGTTTGAAAAAAATAATAATTGAAAACTTCCCTAATTTGAGGAGATAAAAAGTCACACAAGTTCAGGAAGCACAGAGGGTCGCATTCAAGAGGAACCCAAGGAGGCCCACTCCAAGACACATCATTATTAAAATGGAATATCAAAGACAAACAGAGAATCCAAAAGGAAGCAAGGGAGAAAGAAGTAATAACATATAAGGGAGCCCCAATACGGCTAGCAGCTGACTTCTCAACAGAAACACTCCAAGCCAGAAGCGAATGGCAAGAAATATTCCAAATCATGAAAAGCAAAGGCCTGCAACCAAGATTGCTCTACCCAGTAAGACTCTCAATGAAAATGGAAGGTGAAATAAGGAGGTTTCCCTGACAAAAGAAGGCTGAAAGAATACATCTCCACCAAACCAGCATTGCAACGTATGCTGAAGGAACTGCTTTAAGTCTATCAATACCCAGGTCCTTTCACAGTCACCAATACTTGATATTACCAATACTTTTAATACTAATTAATCTGTTTTTGACAATGATGTGTTATTTTAATTGTTACTTTATTATTTGTTGAAACTAAACCTGTTTTTGTATATTTCTGGCCTATTTCTATTATTTTTAAAAAGCTTTAAGTGACTTTTTGGTATTCTTTATCTGTTTTTTGACTAAATGTCTATAAATTTTTTGCCCTAAAAAATGATTTTTTAGGAGGAATGATTTACTTGGGTTTCAAAAGATGAAGGAAGACAATGGTGGAAAGAAGGGGAAGTGACTAGACAAAGAACATGTATGAAGGACCCACTGGACATGGACAACAGAGTGGGAATTGACTGTGGGAGAGGGGAGTGCGGTGGGATGGGTGGAAGAGGACAAAGGGGGAAAAATTGAGACAACTGTATTAGAATAAACATGATAAAAAAAATTTGTGGCAAATATACAACACTATACATATGCATTAGAAAATAAGATAGGTCTCAAAATGTCCTCAGGTACCCCTCTAAGAAACTCGAAAGAGAACAACAGATAAAACCCAATCTTAGAGAAGAGAAATAATAAAGATCAGATTGAAAATCAGTGAAACAGAAAAACTGGTTCTTTGAAAAAATGAATAAAATGAATAAACCTCTAACCTAACTGATCAGGAAAAAAAGGTAAAAGACATAAATGACCAATGTCAGGAATGAGAGAGGTAACATTACTCCAGATTCTACAGACTATTAAAAAGATAAGTTAATATTATGAAAAACTTTATGCCATCAAGTTAGACAAGTTAAATGGACAAATTTCTTAAAAGGTACAAAATATTAAATCTTATTCAAAAAGAGATAGTTGTACTAATTCTATATCTATTAAAGAAATTTCATATGTGATTTAAAACCTTTGCACAAAGAAAACTGCAGGCCCAGATGCCTTCCCTGGGAAATTCTGCCAAACATTTAAGTAAGAAATACTAGATCTACAAAAATTTTTCCAGAAAAATGGTAGAGGAAGGATTAATTCCCAAATCATTCTGGAAGTCAGTGTTACTCAGATACCAAAGCCAGAAAGACATTACAGGAAAAGAAGCTAGAGTGTCCTTCATAAATAGAGATGCAAAAATATCATAAAAGTTAAGCAAATCAAATTCATTATATGAAAGGGATGCATCATGCACAAATAGGGCCTTATTCCATTAATACAATATTAGTTTAACATTCAAAGCTCACTGTAATTCACCATATTAACAGACTAAAAAAGAAAAAAACATTATGATCATCTCAATAGGTACAGAAAAATTATCTGACATAATTCCTGATAAATACTCTCAGCAAGTGAAGAACAGAAGGAAAATTTCTGAACCTGATAAAGAGCATCTATTAAAAACCTGTAGCTAAAATCATACTGAATGGTAAATGACTGTTTTCCTCCTAAGACCAGGAATAAGGCAAGAATATCTGCTCTTACTGCTTCTGTTCAAGATCGTAATGATAGCCATGCAACACGGCAAGAAAAAGAAATAAGAGAGACATCCAGATTTAAAAGGAAAAAGTAAAATTGTCTATTTACAAACAAAATGATTGTCTACATAGAAAATACAATAGGACCTGCCTCAAAATCTACTGAAATTAGTAAGTGAATTTACTAAGGTTACAGTATAGAAGATCAACATATAAAAATCAATTATATTACTATATATAGCAACAAACAATCCAAAATTAAAATTTTAAAAAGGCATACCACTTAATAACATCAAAAATATGAAAAAATTTAGGCTAAACCAGACAAAATTATGTAAGACAGTTAGTCTAAAAATTAAGAAACAGTGATAAAACAAATCCAAGACCTAACTGGAGAAACATACCATGTTGGTGGATTCTGATAATTAATATTAAGACATAAGTTCTCTCCAAACTAATCTAAAACTTCAACAAATCCCAATCAAAAACCAACAGTTTCTTTCTCTTTCTTTCTTTCTTTCTTTCTTTCTTTCTTTCTTTCTTTCTTTCTTTCTTTCTTTCTTTCTTTCTTCTTTTTTCTGGTAGAATTCAATAGGCTTAATATAAAATTTATATAGAATGCAAACATATCCAAAACAACTTTGAAGAACAAAATTGAAGGATTTCCACTACCTGAATTCAAAGCTTGTTGTGAAGCCACAGTAATCAAGGAAGTATAGTACTGGCATAAAAATAGACAAACATCTTTGGAACAGAATAGAGAATCCAGAAATGCATACATTCATGCAATTGTGGTCAGCTGATTTTTGACAAAGGTCAAAGACAATTCATTGGCGAAAAGGTGTTCTTTTTCAAGAAATAGTGCTGGAGCATTTGGATATTCAGTTACCAAAAATAAAAATAAAGAAAAAAGAACTTTAATCTGTACCTTACATGATTAACAGAAATTAACAGCTCATAGACCTACATATAAAACCTAAAACTAGAAAACTTCTATAAAACACACAGGAGAACCATCTTTGCGACCTTGGGTTAGGCAAAGATTTCATAGATACAACATCAAAACCACAATCCATAAATGGAAAAAAATTGATTAATTGGACTTTGCCCAAATTAAGAATTTCTGATTTTCTAAAGACACTTAAGAAAATGTAGAGATAAATCACAGACTTATAAAATGTTTGGAAATCACATATATTCATTATTTTTAAGGGAGCGATGTTTTTTCAAATATGTGAAAACAGATCAAATTATATACTTTTAATATGTGCAGTTTATTGTTTATCAATTTTACATCAATGTAGCTATCAAAGAAAGAATTTAAAAATCCCAAGAAAGAAAACAAAAATAAAAGGATAGAAATACCAGTTACAACCAGTAAAACATTATAGTGCAGTCTTAAAATGATTTCTGTCATTAAGCCAAGAGAAGGCAAAGGGCTCTGTCTGGGAGAGAGGTGTCAAGGAAAAGGGAGACTCCTCACTCACACTGCCAGTGCAGTCGGAGGTTGGAAACAAACTTTTATAGAGGTACATCATTCAAGCAAAAGAAAAGGCCATTATAAACTTAGGGTGGGGGAGGGAAGATCAACTAAAATTCTATATGTATTCCTTTTTTTAACAGATTTTATTTATTTACTTTTTTAGACAGAGAGGAAGAGAGGGAGAAAGAGGAGGAGAGAGACATCAGTGTGTGAGAAACATCAACTAGTTGGTGCTTCTCGCATGCCTCGAGCTGGGGCCCTGGCGGGCAGCCCAGGCATGTGCCCTGATCTTTCAGTTTGCAAGCTTTTGCTCAGTCCACTGAACCACACCATCCAGAGCTATATGTATTCCAGTTAGGAAACCCAACTAAAATTTGGTGTGATTTTTAGAAGTTGATGGAAAATGCATAGAATCTGCTTGGCCTAGATGCTAAAACTCTTCTCCATCACAGGTCATTGCATTGAACCTTCACCAAAAAACCTTTATTTGGCCTGGCAGAAAAGTGTATTTACACAGTTTTGACAAAAATGAATGCTATTTACTACTTTTCAGCATTCAGAGACAACCAATGAACAAAGCATGAAGGTCCTGGGTGTTGTTCCAGAATGTGAATGTAAACAATCTTAATAATACAAAAGTAAAATCGCGAAAGAGAGGAGAAAAGGTACAGGAGAGTATGGGGATGGGGATGTTTTTATTTCACCAGAGGGGGAGTTGAAATAACTAAAGATGAGGAAACAAGAAATAGGGGTATAAGCATATCATTTCAAGTTGCAAAGATAACCAGCAGCAGAACTAAAAATAATAATGTCATTTTCTAAATTCAAAAGAGTTTGTAAGGAGCATTTGTATGTATGAGCAAATCCTTATCATGCACAGTAATGAATCAATAGCTGCTATCTGATGTTGATAACCAAGAAATTGAAGAATAAGCATAATGTTTTCAGTTAGAGTATTGGCCATCAGAGGCAAAAAAAATTCAAAAAAGAAACAGATAATGGAAAGAAACAGCCTCTGGGATGTGGGCCTGGCTACGGGAAGGAGCTGCAGGATCCCTGTTGCTTTTCCTCTCAAATCTGTCCAGCCTAAGTGATTTATTGCCACCACCTCATATATGCATTACTTTGCAGAAAATTAATATTAAAATGGGGCAACCTCTCAGATTACTTACTCTGGTGATCATGGCCACCCAAGAAGATCTGAAGTGTGACAGCTATTAAAGACAGTGGTATTATCATTTTAAAAATATTTCACTCATTACATTCGGCCTAAGGCAGATCAAGAGAGTTGGCCACATAGCAATCTCTCCCATGCCCTCAATGAACCAGTGTGGGAAACCTTCCTGAAGGGCACACAGCTAATGTCCCCTCCCTGGTACTTTGCACCCCCATCAGCACCCACACAGGGTGTGGCCAGCCCTCTCCTCCATCATACCGCCTCCTGATCAGCTGGGGTCTCTGTCACTCCTGCCCCAGTTCCCTCTGGGGTCCCTTCTCAGGTGTTGTTCTGACTGACCTTTTGTCACCACAGAGGTGACTCTGGCAATAGGAGTCAGCAGTTTTCAGATTCTTACACTCCAGTCACTCCCCTTACCCATGAGATGGAGCTGGGGTCCTTTTCCCGTTCTTCAGTCCTGCCTGCTACCCTCCTTTCCTGGCTAGAAGAGGCCAAGGTTCTCCTCTCCCTATTTTCGGACATCCCTGTAATCAGGTTCCAAGGACCTGGTCAGCCCAGGGTGCAGAGCTCGCTCTGTCTCCTGTCCTTTGGTTCTCCTTCCATAACTCTCTTGTACTCTGGGTTATTTAAGGTGACAGGCATTGGAATGGGAAATGTCTTCCACTTCTCCACCTACCGTTCTCCTGCTCTCCTTCCTCTTCAGCCACCTTTCTCTATAGTCTCAGGCTCCCCTGCTTTGACTTGCCAGGGCCCCCACCTTTCACTTTGCTCCCTCACAACCCTCTAACCCTTATCTGAGTAAGGGGTCTTCCTTTGAGCTGCAGAGGGTGAAACCCAATGTTTGCCTTCTCTTCTGTCTCTGCCCTGACCCCATGCAGCATTTTGAGGAACTGGAAGAGAACTTGCTATTGTAAAAAACATGTATGTGCTCTAAATCTTCCCTCACTGCTCTTGGAAGTGTTTGCTTGTTTCTGCACTCCTGTGGCCACTGCGGACTCCCTCAGTGGGCATCATACCCTCCCTGTCTTCCCCCTTCCTTTATGTCCATGAGTACAGGCAGGAGCCCTCTCCCCATCTTTCTCCCTGGTCCTAGCGGCAAGTCAGCCTCTCTGCACCATTGGCTTAGTCTTCTCAGTGCTCTTGGCTGGAACTTTTAGTACCAACCCCACACTAGGCTCTCCCACCCCTTACCTCTATGCCTCTGTGGTCTAGATGCACTTCCCTTAAGCTGTGGGAGACATTTGTTTCTTGGCAATGAGATTGGGTTTCTATAAGCCATGTGGAGTTTTTTTTTTAATTGTTTTTTAAAATTATACAAATAGAACAAAATCTCAGTCTTGTAATTCTTAAACATATGAAATTAAACAACTGTGAAGGGGCAAAATCTTTCTTGTTGTTTGGGACAAGAATTGAGTTTTTGTTGAACAAATCTTAGAAGGAACATTAAAAGGCTCTATATTCTCATATTTTGATATAATTGCTCTGTGCCTCCATTAGTTTTACTGGAAAACTAATTTAAAAAAAAAAAAAAACAGGATCTTCCTTAAAACCAGATACTACATCCAAATGGAGACTTCCTCAATTAAAAACATCACCAAAACAATGTTAAATGTTGACATTTCCTGATTAGTAAATGTCATCCTCTTCTTTGTCGTCTTTTTGAAGTAGGTTTTTGAAAAGCTACTTTTGTTTTCGAAACCAGAAGCTTACTTGCTTTTTAAAACTAGTTTGCTTATTTAATAAATCCCCCTAACTCATCAAATTAAGAAACAAATACTATAATCCATTTTAATCTGTGATTTCAGTTGTACTTATTTCCATGTGGGTTTAGGAAATCTTTGTGGGAGGTAATAAAGCCCTTAAGCCAGAAGAGTGGCATTTATGAGTAACTATGACATTTAAGACACTGCTTCTCTTTCCCAGGTTGCTGACATGGAACCAGAGTGTGAGTGCTCTGGTGAGCCATGGAGAGCATTAGCTGACACCTGTCTTCTGCCAGACTTCGAGACTAGTAAACAAATGAGAATCTTTTTTTTTCCTCTCTCCTTTCTGCAGAATCCCAGCCCTGGATTATTTGCTGTGATGCACCCTCTGACCTATGCAGAAACCTTGATAGATTATCATCTGTGCTCTCACCCCAAGTACAAATTCACTAAAGAGTCCCACAGTGGGTCCAGCATTCCTCTCACCCAAAAACAGTTTCTCCATCACACGGTAATGCCATTTCCAGGCTCACTGGCAGAGCTGATCCAAGTCTACAGGGAAGGGCAGAGAACAAGGATGGAGGGTCACAGCTGGAATTGAGACAAAGAAGGTTTGCAGCCACAGCTGCAGGACAAGAATGGTAACAATGATGGCTGTGTGCACTCTCGTACCGCCAGCCCTGCCACGGTGCAGGTGGGAGGCTCAACACCACTCTTGTCCTGTCTGCACCCACCTCTCAGGTTGCAAGTTGCCCTTTTTCAACATTCTTATTCACTTTTTCCCTTGAAGATTACACCTCACATTCATTTTATTCCTATTTCAACCCTGTAAAAACAGTCACATGGCAGGCATAACCTCATGCCTCCACTTTCTTTGTCCTCAAAAAGTGTAGAAACATCAGAATGGACAAGGTGTTGATACGGCAAATGCACAATAATGGAGATGCTCCTAAGAATTCCTTCTTCTCCTTGATAACCAACCTGACCTGAATATCCAGTAGTATCTCTTGGGTGTTGGCCTCAGGACCTCCAAACTCAATAAATCTGTAACTCAGGTCATTATCTATGCCCTGCTACTACCAGTCACACCTCAAATGGCTCCTCCTGCTGCCCTTCCTTTTTGTTCTGTGATTTGTGCAATGGCCCACATGATCCTTGATCCTTGCCTTTCCCTTATTCCCGTAACTAACCATCACTAGATTCCACCAGTCTGCCTCAGACAACATGCTACTCAATCTACATGGCCACCACTGTGCAGTCAGCCCTCTCTAGGAATCTTCCTTCAATAGGCAGCCATCAATCATGTTGTTTTCCAGTTTGAAAACTCTCAGTGGTCCTGCTGCCCCTGGGAGCAGCTCCAATCTCATTAGCTTGGCCCACAGGCCCTTCATGACTAGCCTGCCTCTACAAACTCATTTCCTGCAATCCCTGGGACACTCCCTGCACTCAGCCCGGACGCTGGTGATCGTGCCGGAGTTCCCATGCATACTGACTGTGGCATTAGCACCACATTCACAATAATGAAACAGATTGTAAGGCCAAATCTACCCTCCCTCACAAGGGCCTGCTCCTTATGTGTCTAACACCTCAGGGGGAAGGAAAAAGTTATTTTGGCCCTACTTTAATTCTGTGTTGCATTGTTTAATGCCTTTTGCTGAAGCAGTTGTCTTTTAGCTTCACAAAAAATTCAATCGAACTAAATGAAATTATAAATTTTAGAGCTAAACTATTAAGAGTGAACAATAGTGAACTGAATTAAATGGAAGCCCTTCCTAGATTCACCTCATTAAACTGTCCCTTTACATGTAGTATCCTTGGACTGGCTTTCGTTCCAGGACATTATACCCGGAGTGATGCTTTGGAAGAAGTTCCAGTCCCTGGTACTCTCATCTCTGCCCGAGACCGCCACGATGGAGATGACACAGAGGTAAGCACAGCTTGTTTGTCTCACAGAAGCTGTGACCCCAGAAAGTGAAATGCCAATCAGATGTCAGATTATGCTTTTTCTGCATGAGGGAAGTTTGCTAGTCACAGAATTATGATGGCATATAACTGATACTCATATTTGGAATTGGTCTTAAGATACACTTTAAAAATAATTAATGTCACAGGTGGCTAATTGGCCATATTTCAATAAAAGTGGACAACCAATCCACATAATTCAGCTGAAATATTCATGATCAGATTGTCACATTTTAAAATTGCCAAGATGGCCCTTCTACACTGTCCATGTCCAATTCCAAAGGATCCGCTTCTCTCTCATGCCACAGCCTGAGAGACAACCACAGCAAGGTCCCACGGTTTTCAGCACATAGAAATATAGCTCAGCTCCACATTTAGCCTATTGCTCAGCTCTAAAAACAGGATGGGTAGAAGAGAATATTGCTGGACTAAAGAAGGAATAAATGTAACCATCTTTTATATAATTTGCTGATATAACACCTCTTCAAAGCCCTAAAATTTCAAATGAGGAGACTGATGCCTTTCTTTAGGACTTCGCCTGATCAATAACCCACTTTAGAACCCTTGAATTTGCTTCTTTAGTTCATTGTCCTTATAATCATAGTTAAATAAGTTATCAGTGAGCAAATTTAACTGGAATCTCAAAATGATTGTTATCACTTTATGTTCAAATCCTTGACTCAGAATGAGTCACCCTAAGGTGACAGAGCCCTGTCAATGGCCCCAAGGGTGGTCAGGAAACCCAAGTTCTGCCACCATCCAAGATCAGCAGGTCACCTTTTCTCTTGCATACCCACAAGTGTGTCCTGGATCCTCTTGGGAGAAAGTCAAGTTCCCCTTCCTCAGCAGAATGCCACACTGCTTCCAGGAGCTGCATAACCTCAGCCACGCTCTTCTGCCACCTCTGAGCCCAGCCCTCTTGTCTAGAGATAAGGGGATTGGACTTGTTGGGAAGACCCTCCTCAGCCTTGACATTTTCCTTTAATAGGAGGAGGAGAGTTTACCAATGTGCAGTGACCCCATGCATACTACCCATCTACCCCTCTCCACTCAAGTATTTGAGGAGATAGTTGAAATCCAATTTATGACTCCAGAACACTTTATTTACTTCTTCCATCTTTGCTGACTGAAAAACTTTTCCTGAATTAAGCAAAATCCAGCCTTGCTTTCAGAGGCTTTCCCACATGTTATCCCTTTTGGGTTATTTCTTTAGTGCTTCTCAACTACTCTTCTTTGCCTAGAGATTAACATGAGACCAAACATAGGATTTGGGACATGGTAAGAGCTCAAAAACATTAGTTCCTTTCCTAGAAGTTTATTCTTACCTCATCCACCCTACTGCCATCTCAACATAAACTAAGCATCTTTGTTCTTAATTTTAGCATATCTCTAAAAACCTGAAATTTCCAGAATTGGGGTGAAATAGTGGCACTATGGAATGTTGCTTCAGCGTCTGGGAGACCTGCCTCCATTACTTGCTAGCTGTGTCACCAGCTCAATGTCCTTGGGCAAGTTACTTATTACTGAGGCCTTTTGCACAATAATTTCCCCACCTGTAAAACAGGAATTGGGATGGCATCCTCACCCCACTGTTGTAAGGATTAAAGTAAAATGATGAAGCGAAGCATCTAACACCATCTTCAGTGACTCTTCCTGTTCTTCTACCCTTCATTCCCACCTATTAAACTTTGCAATCTCTCTGTTGCCACCAGATGGCGATAGTCTGCCACCACCTTGACACACCCTCATTTTGCTGTGGGGTGAGGACACTTCAAAACTGACCCATATAACCCGTAAACATGGCTGGTGATGGGGCAGTGTCAGCAGACTGAGCAAAATGAGGAATGGTGAGAGGTGGAGACTGCCCGCATCCGCCACCTGTCCCCATGCCCAGGTCTCCAGAATTAAGGGGGGGAAAATCCTCTTATTTTTTTCCCCAAAGCAACATCCTTGGAAAAATCTCCTAAGGCTGCTCTTTCAAAAAGCAGTCAGAATACACCTACCTTGGGCTTGAATTAACCATGAATTAAAGATGAATTCTACATGAATTAAAGAAAACTCCTTGACTATGAGTTGTCACTTTCAGCCTCTGAGTCTGAGTGCTCTGTTGGGCCAGTTTGCTTCAAAATAAATTGTAATTGTATAACAGAGTATAAAATCAAGAGAGGATTTTGTATTTCCTTATCATTGATTTTCATAATGTAAGATTCTAGAGCATGTTTTTATTACTAAAAGGAGTTATAAAATAATAATGGCATATCTTAAGTTTTACAAATCCATTAATTATACTTCAACTTTGCAATCATTTTTGCTTGAATAAATTACCTATTACTTATGAGTTGTTTCCCTTGTATCTTTTTCCCCTGAGAGTTAACTATTTGTTGTTAAACCATGTGATATAGTTATGCAATGCTTATTTATTGTAGGTCATTTTTGTATTCATAATAATCAAAACAGTTCACTTGGTTTCTTTACCCTTTAATAAATTTAGAGAGAATTTATGAGTCTCTAGGATTTTCATAAAATCTGAGAGTCGACAGCACCTGAGGAGTTACCTAATCCAGTAGTGCCTACTTTGGATTTTATAGATGGGTGAAATGGCCAGAATTTTGAGATTGATTTGGTACTACTAGAGTTTGCCAAGTAAGTCATTAAAACTAACAAGCAAAACAAAACAGCCAGCCACCATCTACTGTTGCCACTATTTCAGTTTCAGAAGAACATACTACGTTCAAAAAAATAAGAAACACATGGTTTCAGAATTTAAAATTGGATAAGTTTTTGTCTCAAAAAAACACTTGGTTGTTACCATTCCCTCTTCCCTGACCAGCCTGTTTCTGGACCATAGTCAAGGCTTTCAGCTCCTGTGCCCCTTTCTGGACAAGACTCCCCCTTGCCTGCGCCCTCCAAGGTTACAGGGGGGTGGTCAATTAGCACCTTCATTCTTTGTCAAGAAGTCATAAATCAGTACACAATCTCTGGATGGTGGAGACAGGTTCTCTTTGGAAGTCTTTTAGACTTCTGGCCAAGATGGAGGCATAGGTAGATACGCTTTGCCTCCTTGCACAACCAAAAAAGAACAAGAACAAATTTAAAAACAAAAAATAACCAGAACTGTAAGAAAATAGAACTGTTTGGAAGTCCAACAACCAAGGAGTTAACAAAGAAATATTCATCCAGACTGGTAGGAAAGGCGGGGCAGAGAGGACTCACGGCAAAGTGGTGGCTGGTGAACCCAACGGTCCCACATTTGCGTGTGGAAAAACTGGGAGGAACAATAGAGGGGTGAGACAGACCACAGCAACCTAGAGTTCCAGCATGGGGAAATAAAGCTTCAAAACCTCTGGCTGTAAAAATCTGTAGGGAATGCAGCAGCGGGAATAATGCAGAGTCTCACAGGAAAGTTTGTTGGAGAGATCCACAGGGTCCTAGAATGTACACAAACCCACCCACCTGGGAATCGGCACCAGAAAGGCCCAATTTGCTTGTGAGTAGCAAAGAAAGTGACTGAAAGCCAGCCAAGAGCCAGGCCAGCGGCATTGTTCCCTCTCTGACCCCTCCTCCGCATACAGTGCCACAACACAGCCAAGCGGGTTGCTCCTCCCTGGAGAACACCTAAGGCGCCACCCCTTACAACATAACAGGCATGCTGAGACAAAAAAAAAATATGGCCCAAATAAAAGAACAGGTCAAAGCGCCAAAAATAGAACTAAGTGATGAGGAGATAGCCAATTTATCAGATGCCCAGTTCAAAACACTGGTAATCAGGGTGCTCACAGAAATGGTTGAATATGGTCCCAAAATAGAGGAAAAAGTGAAAGCTATGCAAAGTGAAATAAAGAAAAATATACAGGGAACCAACAGTGAAGGAAAGGAAACCGGGACTCAAATCAACAATTTGGAACAGGAGAAAGAGATAAACATTCAACCAGAACAGAATGAAGAAACAAGAATTCAAAAAAATGAGGAGAGGCTTAGGAACCTCTGGGACCACTTTAAACATTCCAACATCTGAATCATAAGGGTGCCAGAAGGAGAAGAGGAAGAGCAAGAAATTGAAAACTCTGGGAGGGGGAAGATGGCAGAGGAGTGAATGGGAGTCGCGCTGACCTCCGCCCAAGACCAAACTGGAATTGTGACTAAATAGTGAAGAAATCACCTGGAAAACAACGGAACGATAGAGGGAGAGGAGCCTTGGAGCCTCGGACAGATAGTGGAATCAACTTTCACACATTCGAACGGGTGAGAAGTACGGTGGAGGCTCGAGAGGGTGGGCTGGGTGTCCACGGGCACCAGCACCAGAGGGACATTGAAACGGCCAGTTGGATCCCCCTGAGAAGAACAGGGTCTGAATCATAAACAGGGACCCCTAGACTACAGCAGCTGAAACCAGAAAAACAGACAAAACGCAACACCGAAAAGCTTAGGGGTGCTCTCTGCCAGAGACAAGTGAGTGGGGATGCAAAGAGATATTTAAAGGGCCAACGCAAAAATTTGCAGTGACAGTCACCTTCCTTGATCTCGGGGTAGAGGCGCAAGAGAGTGGGCTCATGCCTGAGGGAAGATTGGTGAGGAAAACTTTGTGAAGAGAACTGAGACGGTGGCCAGCAGAGCCCCAGTAATAACTCACCTCCCACTCTGCAGCTACCATCTCACTCAGGCATTAGGGAATAAATAAACTTGCTTTCTGCGTGCTCCGTGCACAGTTTGCACAGATGTGGGCTGGGGTGCTGAGTGCAGAGTGGCTGGAAGAAATAGAGGATTCCTGGCTGAAGGGGACATAACTGCCTACAGACCTTTGAGGAGAGGCTGGAGACAGATGTGTTGGGGAAAGAACTGAAGGAATAACCGGGGTGTCCCAGAGCTGACTCCTTCCCCTTTCTGTAGTCTCCATTTTGCACAGGCAGGCCACGCCCCAAAGGAGGCAGCAGTGGGAAAGGAAATAATAGCCCTACCTTCAGGACA